AGCGCAAATACACTCTATTTATAATTCCTACATTCGGCTGCAAAAACTGACACTATGTGCCTTCTTAGGACTGTAAATGAACAAAAAAATGATTGAAATTGTCTCTCTGATTTTGTGGAAACATTAGAAAGACTTCCTATACTGATCTGGAGCATGCTAGTTATGAGGCACCCTGTGTAATCTGTCTTTATATTATATTGGCTCTATATAGCTCTGTAGAAAGGGCGGATAGTATAACTTTATAAAATACTGCTGTTTACTGTCATTCTTGGAAGTCTACATTCAGGCCCACACTTATTTTGTGACCCCTCACCATCCCCCACCACACTGGTGCCACCCCATGGACCCCCCTTCAGTACTTTACATCTATAATGAGATACAAATACGCATCAGCAGGACAGTGTCTACGCCACGCGTCACTGTGTGAATATTACTCACACTTATTAGCTGGATTATGTTAATCTTTACACTCTCTGCTCACAGACAACAGACTCCCCATGATATGGGGGTGGTCACGGCAGTAAGCGTGTGTTGTCGTGTGTGTTTGTGTGTGTATGGCTGTATGTGTGTGTTGGAGTGATTGCCATGTTGTCAAACTGATCTGCATGTGAAAGGGTGGTCTAATTACATCACTTATGCAAATGAGAAATACATGTATGCATGCACATGCATACACACCACTGACAGCTTACCACTAAGGTCAAAAAGACAGTGTGAGCTATCCTCTTACTGACTAACACAGGGTGGCATCACCACCTGTCAGAGATAGACAAGACTTGACACAGTACATATAAGTCACAATAGCTGTTTTGATACAGTCCTTCAGATAAATAAAAAAAAAGAAAAGTGGATGGGTCTTACAGTAGACTAAAGCACTTAAACTGTTATTGGAAAATTTCCGACTGCATCTCAACTGATTAGTCTTTTTTCAGACTGAAACATTGATAGTATCCCTGTTGGAATGATTGATTGAGTCTGACACATTTTAATTACGCCCAAATTAAATGAATCGGCTGGCGGACTATAAAACATTGCTGTTTAATAACGAGTCCCTCCATTTGCCTTTTTTTTCCCTTCCTTCATCCAATCCCATTTTGGCTGCCCGCACCAAATAACCTCTCTCCATTTAATGATATGCAAATGAATTTTCATGAACCCCATGATCCCATGCGATGATTAAACTGAGATGACATTAGCTGCCATGCTGCTGCCACTGTCAGTGTTTCTGTCTGCCTCCTTTCTCCTTTTCCTTATCTATACCATCTTTCTTCGTATCCACGACAACGGCCAACTGGTGATATTAAGGGGTTCATTGTCACCATTCCCTTATGAATTTGCTTTGTGAGGGATGACATTCTGCGTATCCAGTGTTATTTCATTGAAGTTTTTCCAGTGGCAACAGAGATGGAGCATTAGAGCGCAAAGTGTTTTCGCACCACATGTGGTAGTGGTAAACCAGAGACATACATCTTACAACAATATGCAATTATTGTAAAGCAACAACATCATATAGACAATTTTTGTAACCTTCCACATCTCTTCATTTTCCACTTCCAGTGCTCCCCTCCTGCCGTTCCGTTTCAGTCTGGATTCAGCTCCACCTCTGCTGTCGTTTATTGTACTCCATTTGCATAATGAAGCCCAGGCTTAATTAAGATCCCACTGGAGTCTGGAGCCAAGGATGAAGGAAAGAAGGACGAGGAGGAGGGGAGGGGGGATCCAGCGTTCCTTAGCTTATCCGCACGTGTCCAAATAGGAGGCACAATTTAAGGGGGGAGAAAAGCGTTGACGAGCGATTAAATCGCTAATTATGATCGGCTGTTAGAATTAGTGTGTGGCTGTTAATTAGCTGCAGATGAGATGCCCAGACAGTTGCCCGCCCCTGACGACTGCAGCACCCTCCCTGACTGGCAATAGAGAAACACAGCTTGACACCCTGGAGATGATGCCAACACATCCCTCCCTTTGACACACACAGCAGTCTGAGGGGATATCCCTTTAAGAACATCCCAGGTGTGCATGTGCAGGAAAGAGGCTCTTCATCATCCTTGTCCACCCCACTCCCACTGTTCTTCGTTAAGCACAAAATTCCTCATTTTTTCTTCTTCTATAGCTTTTATTCATTTTGCTCATTATTCCTGTTCTCTTCCTCTCCATACTGGAATGGTACGATCCCTTGTCTAAGTTCTTTGTAATGGGCAGCAGCTTCCTTCCAGTGCAGCAGTTGGCACTGAGTAGAGTTGGCATTGAGGAAATGGTTTTTGTCCCATACTCCCACCACAGTTGCATTTGTGGCTCTGGTTTCAACCTTCTGCTACTATTTTGTATCCGCATTTACTACGCTTTTGTACGGCTTCTGGTGGCGCCCGTGAATGCCTCCCAGTTTGCGTCTGGCATGGTGCCATCTCTGTTTCTGGTCTCTCCCTTGAGGGGATGGCATCGCCAAAACATTTAAGGCATCCGAAATGTTCTGCTCACCGTATGGAGGTTTCTGTTTGCAAATGTGTGTGTTATGTTGGCTTGGCAGTGTGCCATCTCTCTCCCCGTGCCCTCGCCACCCCTTAAAAGATGCCATCACAGAATCGCTGGCAACCGTTGCCTGGGCACCTCTTCTTGGCTTTGTCCTAGCAAACAAACGGTGATTAGCAGCAAATCCTCAGAGGTGAGTCTCCACGTCTTCGACTAAGACAGTTCTCCACCGACCGCTTTGATCGCTTTGGTTATGCCATGACTGCAGGCTGGCATGGTGCCCGCTGGCTGGCACGCAGCGGCTGGCATGGAGAGAAAGAAAAGTAGGAAAATGGACAGAATGCAGGATTTTCCGCTGACGTTTTCCTTCGTATGATCAATGGTCATCACAGAGTTACACCTTACAGTTTCATAGTACCATCCATTTCTCTCTTCAACATCCTTCTATGCTTCCCTTCATTAATCTACATCTGAGTCATCCTCTGTCTGCTGGCATCTTGCTTGCTCACTTCCATGCTCTACTGTCCTCTGATGTTTTCTATATATTCCTTTTCTCTGCCCATTGTGCTGTTTGTTTCGCCCCATTGTGCCTGTGCCAAGCTGGCACTATGGTAGTAGTATGGAGGTCTGTTTCTCTTCCTCTTCCATTCTTATTCTCCTCGCCCCTTTGCCCATGCCCATGCCCGCCCCCGCTCAAGTCCTGACTGGATGGCACTGTGCCAACCTGCCACCGCCATCGCTCTCATTTGTAGCTCATCCCTCTGTTGCCCTTCCCCCTGTCTCTACATTTCCATCCCTCTCTCTTCCTCTCATTTCATTCATCCACTTTCTGAATCATTTAGCCTCTCTGTGTATATGAAATGCTCTGTTTGTATATACACAACATTACTTAACTGACACACATACGACTTTTCATTTCTTAAAAGCATGCCGTAATTCGTCGGTCTTTGTTGTCATTTGGGAGACTTTTTTGGCACCTGAAGGAATGCCCTGAGTGCCTGCTTGGTAGGTAATTACCGCAGCAGTTACTTATTCCACCGAGACAAGAGGAGAAAGACGGAGAGAGCCCTGAGTTTCGAGAAAGCTTGTGTTGTTTTAATTAACTTTTGCCAACCCCCATCATGTGTGCTTCGCTTCACATCTCTAACATCCTTTTTCCAGGTTGTGCTTGTTCACACACGCACTATACCGCAAAACGATTGATCCGATTATCAGTAAAATCGATTAAGTACTATTGACTTCACCCTCTTTACTAAAATGGCCCTTGCTCCCTTGTTTTTCTTTTTTATCCACCTCTTTAAAACCTCTCGTGTCAAACAAAAGCTGCCAGTGGTGGTGGAGGTATTAAGCAAATACTCTCATTAGTACACAAAACATAATGAATATGTAAATGATGTGTGTAATTTATGCATGGGCTGAGGGACTTGTTCTCTTTTCAGTCATCCATTGTATTCACTCTATTTATATCCCCTTTGCTTAAAACTTCACACTCTTACGCCAATTCTGCTCCTTTCAACCTGTGAATGAATCCATGGGGGGCTTCTATTGGTTTCACTATTGTCTCTAGTCACTATTTTTTTTACTCACTTCTCCTTGCCTTTAAGCATAATTTGTAGTTTCTAACAGTCTCTCAGTCTCTCTCTTTTTCTCTGTTTGCTTCTTTCGGCTCACAGTCTGTCCTCTCCAAAAACAAACCCTGCAGTGACGCATTAAACCAACAACTGAGTGTTTGAACAACGTCTTTCTTCCAGGAATATGAATACTGAATAATCTATCCTCAAAAATCATATCCACACGACTGTGCTGTTTTCCCCTTGTCCCTCTGTGACTGTGTTGATCTTAATGTGTGGTCCAAACTGTGTGGTTAATTTAAACGTGTCTTGATAGACGGTGAGTAGCCTTGCTCCTGTCTAGGATAAACACCTATAATACTCTGGCTCCCTTGGCAATCACCATAGCAACAAACCATGGTACCCACGTGAGTTGCATAATAAGATGTTCCCCAAGACCAGGGACCATAAAGCCGCGACAAACTAGATACCCATAGCGATGAACGTGAATCAGAAAATAACCATTCAAATGTCAAATTTCACCTCTGACTCATTCCAGACAATCCTTTTCTAATCATCAATAAGGCTTGCATCATACAACACACACTCTCAGATGCACATGCACCTTCTCTCTGTCTCTCCAGACCTTAACAGGTGCTGATGAGCCGCAGTCAATGATTGTAATGAGCTATCGATCACCGTGGGAAAACAGAGGGACAGAGAGGGGTGAGGAAGGTAGGGGGAACCAGAGGACACACACACAAACAGAAGGAGGTGGACTGCCAGAAAAAAAACTTCAGATGAACTAAATGGAGACAAGCTACCCAAGACAGAGTATCAATACTTGCTTTAATCAAGTCTTTATCTCCTATTGTTCTGCTTAAAATAGAATTTATGGGAATGTGCTTTCTGCCAGCCCAGTTTGAAGGGAACTGTTTCAATTCAGAGCAGCTTCTGGACTGGCTGATCCGCTCTGGATGACCGTGCAGACATGCTTGTCATGACGGAGTCCAGATGCCAGTGAATGGCACTGACGCAGTATCTCTATTTTCTTGTCTTTTTGTGCTGTATGCATGGAGTGGAGGCAGACAGCTTTAGGGAAGGGGGAGGAGCGTTGTGTGTGTGTGTGTGTGTGTGTGTGTGTGTGTGTGTGTGTGTGTGTGTGGTGTGTGTTGGCTGGCGTTTCAGATAATGAAATGCAGCAGGGAACAAAGAGCTGGGGGCCCCTATTCTCTGTGCTGCAGCTTCATTTTCACTCCCGTCAGTCTATGATTCTTCCATACCCTCTTTCTTGTGTACGTGTATGTGTGTGTGTTTATGTTTGTATGAGTAGTTTGTTGTGTGTACCACTGTCCCCCTCCTCCTCCTGTTAGTATTCTGCATGGCAGATCCCCCTAATGTAATAACTGTGTCTGCATGTCTAATTTACAGCAGGAGAGAGTAAATAGCCTGTGGTTAATTACAGTACGTGTGGGTGTGTGTATGTGTGTGTGTGTCTATGCATGTGTCTACACACGCGTGGGTGTGTCAGAATGATTTATGAGTTGCAAATAGCTACACCAGTGGCCCGTTTCTCCTCACTTAGTTTTTAATCTGTCTTTCCATTAATTTTCCTGGAGATGTTATTATGGTTTTATAACCGTGTGCACGAGGATGCACATGTGAGTGCACGTATGTGTTAATGAGACAGAGGTGTGGACATTTTGTGAGGATTGCGGCTTCTCGGGCACCTGAGCTACACTTTGCGTTTTCCCCCGTTTCTACTTTTTCCATTTCACTTCCTTCCTTTCCCTGTTTCTATTTTCCGGTGCTTCATTCACTCTCTTCATTGAGAGCCACAATGAACACAGATCTTTATTGACAGTACATGGTAGAACATGGAAACAGCAGGTCAATCCGTTTAGCCCAAGGGCCGATACACCAATTCACCAATTTGTCAGTGTTAGTTTGAGAGAGAAAAGCAGCTAATCTCTCCTCTCTGCTCTCTATTGATCACACACTTAGACTCCACTTCTCTGTCTAAACACTATTGATTCCCTCTCTCTCTCAATCTCTTTCTCTCTCTCCCTCTCTTTCTGTCTTGCCCTCGCCACATACCACAGCTCTCAACACATCTTCCCTTCATACACTCATGACTACTTCTCAGATAACAGCCAGAATAATGTACATGTACATGAAGCCCTGAGTCACATTTTTGATGAATACTCGGGAATAGTTTAGCATGAACAAAATAAGACTTAGAAGTAATTTCAGTAACACTGTATTATGCATGGAGCTTATCAACTATACAAAGCATTTTAGAGTTTGGTTCACAAGTGTCACAAATTATTGTTCCCTGCTGCGTACTTTCAAACGCTTATGCATGGTCTCATTAAAAAAATCAATTACTTAGCAACCCCTCTACAACGTGAATACAGACCATGATTAAAAATTCACTGTCGGGTACATTGTCTCGTGGCTTTGTTTTTCAGTCTCACATCATAAGGTGCACTTGAAAAGGACTACATTCCTGTCAAGATGAAGGCTATGTAAAAACTATACAATGATTATCTTATGGGAGATGTCCCCCAGCTTTTTTTTTTTTTTTTTAACATCAATTCAAATTGAGTGAAGGATATCTATTTGATTGGATGTATCTTGTAGGGACCCCTGTCATGACAAATGTTAGTTGAGATGTACGAATTGGTCGCGGAGGGATTGTACTGTAGACAGGAAGATGAAAGAGAGAGGGAGAGTGAAAGATGTGACGAAAACAGAATATAGCATTTATTATATCTATTTCTCTCAAACCTAATGTCAAATTAATGAAATGTAAACAGGGAATCCCAACTATTAGTACACATGCTGTAAAAAACAGCCATGCACCCATGGGTTTCACTATCCTCCACACATGGCTCTTATTTATAAGACTGGTGCACCACCTACTGGTGATATTATCCCATTACAGACACCTTTAGTTGTTGCAGGTTACAAAACACGGACACATTGCTTGTGTAACTCAAAATCAGCTGTTTGGTAACCAGCACTGAGGGTAGGTGGAGGATCTCGTGGAGTGCTTTATTTTCTCAATGCCTGACTTTAAGCTATGTAACGTTACTATTATATTATTTATTAGAAATTAGCAGCAGTTTTAAGGCATTTTATAGCTATAATTTTATCGTCACCTTTTTTTACTTGAAGATGCCTCCTTCAACTGGTGCAGAAGACAGAAAAGCCTTAGTGAGAAAGATGTTAAGGGAAGTTCTGGTGGGTCGAGAGGATCCAGAGGGGTTTTTCGCCATGTGTGTGTCCGCCCTGGGGTACCAGGAGACCCGGTCACAGTTTCTGTCCCTCATCCAGCCTCTGTCCACGGCCAACCGCTCCCTGCACTCCACCCTGACCTCCATCTACAAGGATTATTTCTCTAAGGTCAGTGAGTGTTGTGACAGTTTTTAATACACGGGTTATAAAGAATACATTTCTGGAAATAGCTTTTTTTTCTCTTAATAGGACATAAAAAGTGTGTTTAAAACCCCCAGTAAAACGACAACAACGCAATTACTAACCCTAATCCAAAAAATATTTATCTAAAGTTGGACTGTTGTGTCTTACTTACCCATTTAACCTGCATATAGCGATTATTCACCACTACGAGAGGCAAAAATACTCAAAATGAGCGAAAACTGTAGGTGAAGAACGGCTAGCTAACGTGTTAGCAAACAACAAGTTAAAGTTAAGTAACGTTAACATTCAGAGAATAGACCAACGGCCATATTGAAAATAAATTTAATTACATTTAAGTCCCACTTTTATTGACATTTTATCCCTTTTTTGGTCTATCAGCTCTTAAGAAAAATACCTGACCCTTCTTAATACGTTAATGTCTTCATCAGTCCCTCCTTTACTCTTTAGCTTTAGCTTTGTGGTAGCTCCTGGTCGGTTCACGGTTTTTAGTATTGTTTTGGTTTTCTCGGACCAAACACACCAAAACAGAAAGTAAATCAAATTAAATATGTATATAAATGGAAAATGAAATACAATTTGTAAAAAACAAAACATTTCATATAACAATATTAATAATTATATTAACAGAGTGTACAAAAAAATAGAATTTAACCACATATATAGGTAAAGGTATACCTATAGCCCTGTATACCTGCAGTAAATACCCAATAATAATTAAATAATTCAAAATTACCACCATAAAATCAATAAAGTAATTTACTTACATTTACAAGAGATTATATTGCACAATGCACAATTTTCGCTCACCTTTCCACAAACATGTACTTCTCTATGTAATACATAATACATGTGTACAATAAAATGGGCAGTATTGATACCTTAAAAGCAATGTTTATTAAAAATGGATAAAAGGAAAGCCTGCTTTGGGTTTCTGGGATACTTTGGACAGTCATTTAATGGGAGACCAGATACTTGTTTATTGTAAAAATTACCTTATTAAACATTCAAGTTTTAACCACATAACTCAATGTAAGAGACATTAACACTAGCTAGCTTATACGTTTCTCCAACAGTGAGCTTGATGGTCTATGATAAAAAATAATACAATTATAATAAATAACTGAAACAGCTTGCTCTCTTGCTCATGTTGCACTTGTTTGATTGTTCATATTTGCATGTTCCTGAAATTTGCCATCCCTACCCCAAAGACTATAAGCAGTTTTTTGTAATAATGGGTTGTCCTGATCAAATTGTAGACTGAAGATGATGAACTGGAACTTGCGTTGGTTCTCTCTCTACTGGAAATGAAAGAGCAGCAGCTGTCAACCCCCAGCCACGAGTCCCGGCCTCAGCAACCTGGAGACAGACTGAATCAGAGAAGCTCCCTTCAACTGATCTCGGTATCTCAGCCACAGGGAAGCAGCCACACCCAAGTAGTAGATGTAGTTGGCCGGAGAGAAACCACCAACTCACCACAAACTGAACCCACAACTCGAGGGACTGAGCTTCGGAAGAACACACAAGTTTACAAATATAATAAGGAGGCACCGGAAACAAGTCAGACTGTGTGTGTCTCCAGATTGTCTGTCTCATTTTCCAAGCAAGAAATGGTTGAAGAAGGCGACCAAGTAATGGGCGAGGGAGATTTGAATAAATCAGACAAACCAAAACGCTCTAAGAACAGGCGTCAGCGGCGCAAAGGCACTGGCCAGCAGGTTGTGGGTTTGCCTTGTTCTCCATCAGCTCCAACACCGGTGCTGCTCTGGTTCAGGAGGGACTTGCGACTTTGTGACAACCCTGCTCTCAATGGCTCATTGGAGGTTGGTGCACCTGTTATCCCCGTCTTCATCTGGAGCCCTGAAGAGGAGGAGGGACCTGGGATTACGGTGGCTATGGGGGGAGCTTGTGAGTTGACAGAGCACATCACTTCCTTGTCTTATAACTTTTCATACAAGACTAAAGCTTATTCATTTGCAAGTTTCCTGACTGTTGTCTAATCACATCTTTTTTTTATTTTATCACAGGTAAATACTGGCTTCATCAAGCTTTGTCTTGTTTCTGTTCATCTCTGGAGCGCATTGGCAGCCATCTTGTCTTCCTCAAGGCAAGTGGAGAGGGGAAGGAGGTTGGATCTTCTTTGCGTACGCTTAAGCAACTTGTAAAGGAGACAGGGGCGAGAACAGTCTTGGCTAATGCCCTCTACGAGCCCTGGCTGAAGGAGAGGGATGATGTGGTGGTCTCAGCCCTTCAGAAAGATGGCGTTGAATGCCGGATGGTCCACTCGTACTGTCTCAGAGACCCCTACTCTGTCACCACGGACGGTGTGGGACTCAGAGGTTAGTCACAACGGAATTAATTTGATGTATGGAGCTTGGTTAAATATTTGTTGTTAATATCAATGTATGGCAATATAAGCTGATTGTCAATATGTTCATTTTATGGTGAACTCTAGGAATAGGTTCAGTGTCTCACTTCATGAGCTGCTGTAGACAGAACCCAGGACCTGCATTAGGGGTTCCCATGGACCCTCCTGTATCTCTGCCCACACCTGGCCACTGGCCTCAGGGTGTCTCTTTGGATACGCTAAGCCTGGCACGCATGCCCCGCAGGAAAGATGGCACAACGGTCAGTAACCACCAGCAGAGCAATCCTGTAGGGACGAGCTATAGCCCAATATACAATTAAAATTAGATCATGAAGTCCTCTTATTTGTTTGTGTTCATTTTGGCATTCAGATTGACTGGGCAGCAAACATTCGTAAAGCCTGGGATTTCAGTGAAGAAGGAGCACATGCCCAGCTGGAGGCCTTTCTTCAGGATGGTAAGACACATTGCATGCACACTGTAAACATATAAACACTTAAAGGACCAGTGTTTGTTTGATTTGTCTGTGCTGGGCTACTGTAGGAACACTACACTAGATAAAAAAAACCTTAATTCTAAGTTAACGAAAACACAACAATTCTTATTTTCAGAGTTTTATACACTAATGAAAACATACCTGTGAATATATCTTCCCTATCTGCCAGTAGGTCCTCCTGAACGTTACACACTAGACCTTTAAGAAAAGAGGAGTAGTTCTAACAGCACCTTTTGATTCCCCAATGTATCCTAGGTGTGTATAGATATGAAAAGGAGTCAGGCAGAGCGGATGCACCAAATACCAGCTGTCTGTCTCCCTACCTACACTTTGGTCAGCTCAGCCCACGCTGGCTGCTGTGGGACGCCAAAGGGGCACGCTGTAGACCCCCAAAGTTCCAACGTAAACTGGCGTGGAGAGATTTGGCTTACTGGCAGCTGATATTGTTTCCTGACCTCCCCTGGGAATCCCTCAGGCCTCCATACAAGGTAGGAATTGGCTGCAAATATCTTGACAACACATTAACACTTTAAATGTTTCATATTAATTTAAAGAAAGAATTTTATAAAGTTGTCAGTAATTAAAAGGCTATATCACACTATGAAGAACTATGTTTATAGCAAAGCATTATTCATCCACTGGTAATTGCAGGCTCTGCGGTGGAGCAGGGATCGGGGCCACCTGAAGGCCTGGCAGAGAGGACAAACAGGCTACCCTCTGGTGGATGCAGCCATGAGGCAGCTGTGGCTGACAGGCTGGATGAATAACTACATGAGACACGTGGTGGCATCTTTTCTCATAGCATATCTCTACCTGCCCTGGCAAGAAGGCTATCGCTGGTTCCAGGTGAGACGAACACAGGCATATCACATTCAGCAGCACAGTATAATAAGTACTGTTTATTGACTGTATCCACGTATGTTTAAGGACACCCTGGTGGATGCAGATGTTGCCATAGATGCTATGATGTGGCAGAATGGAGGCATGTGTGGTCTGGATCACTGGAACTTTGTCATGCACCCCGTCGATGCAGCAATGACCTGTGATCCGTACGGCAGCTATGTTAGGAAATGGTGTCCTGAACTTGCAGATCTGCCTGATGAGCTTATTCACAAACCCTGGAAATGTCCCGCATCCATGCTTCGACGTGCTGGTGAGGAAGTTATCATCATCTATTGGCTTCTTTAGTTAGCTGTTCAGTCCAAAAGAAAACACTCCTTTGTTTTGAAACATGCTGCCTACAGCATAATTACACAACCTAACATACTTTCCTTGCTCTCGTCACTGTTTAGGTGTAGTGTTTGGCCAGACGTATCCTGAGCGAATAATAACAGACCTGGAGGAGCGGAGGAGTCAGTCTTTGCAAGATGTAGCGCTGGTGCGGAAGGAGTTCGGACAGTATGTGGATAAGCGCTCAGGCTCTGACTTGGTGCCTCTGCCCCCACGCCTTGTCTCCGAGGCTCTAGGCTTATCAGACAGGGATGGGGGTGTGGTGACAGCCGGGAAGCAGTTCCTGTTGCCTGTTATCACCCGCATGGAATTCAAACACCAACTTGAAGATCCAGATGCAGATGCCGCCTCAAATCCCTACAATGCTGTTCTTAAAGGATACGTGAGCCGTAAGAGGGATGAGACCATTGCCTTCCTTAATGAGAGAGACTTTACTGCCAGTGTGATGTATGAGGGAACCCAGAGAAAGGAGAGGCTGGAGAGTGATTATCGCAGAATGGAGGGACTCCCTCAACCTCCTGCACCTCGGGGCAGAGCCAGACGAACTCCAACAGCAAAGGACAGGTTTTCTATAGTACCTGGTGGGGCGGTCACTTCACTCAGGTGACCCAGAGGTCAAAACTGAAAGTTTACAGGTTCAAGGTGACCAGTTACTATTAAAATGCGAAAAAAGTACAAAATGTTACAGAATAATCTTCAAGATGAGGCAAGAACAGGCCAATGTGGATAGAGTGAGGAAAATTTGCTTGTGTTGAAACAATCACAACAATGTGTGCCAGGGGGTTGCAAAATGCTCCTAACATTTTGTACATTAAATATTCAGTATAATCTCAGGTATTGAGCAATGGCGTCATTCTAGGTAACAATACACTTGATGTCAGTGCAGCTTCCTTTCTTAAAGGCCCATTCTGTATTCTTAAACATAAATATACACATACATTGTAGCGTTTGAGTGTTTACAATCTGATGTAAGCAACATCAGATATCTGATATATCGGTGTGTGAATCAAAATACTTCAGTGAAGTTGGAGGTTTTTATCAGGTTCCAATTTTATATTTTGGTTGTCGGGTTACCTTTTTGTATGAGTTTAAGTGGAAGTATAACTGGGTCTGATGTTAGACTTAATGGTGTGTATGGTCAGAACAGTGATTGAATGAAACTGTCAGACAAAGCATGTCACATGTTCAGTGCCTTATGACAAGCTGTCATTTTTAAAACTGCCCATACTTATAAAGTTTAAACTTTGGAAAATAAAAAAATGAAAGAAAGCACAAGGTTTCAGGAAATGTTTATTTTCTACTTTACAGGTCCCTTGTCTACAGTGTTGCTGTCAAACATGCAGTGTAGACCAACATTATTATTAACACCATAAAGACCAAAGTGCTTTTTTAAGTCTAACATTGACCTAGAAAACAGAAATTCAAGTTTTCTTTGACTGAAATGCTTGGACAATTCTATTGACTGAGTCTCAGTGTCTTCTGTTTGAGGATTTGAGGTTGCAATAACTCAACATTGGAGGTTAAGTCAGAGCAGACAGGTCCTCTAAAATCAGTCTTTAACAGTAGATAAAGGATTCCTAATGTTCACAGCTCTACAGCACTGGCAGGTCAGCAATCTGGAGCTCTTGAGCCCTCCCTGGTGGATGATAAGTATAGCATTGTAGCTGACCCAGGCACAACCCTTGGGTCTCCCTGCCAGTGGTGTTTGAAAAGGAGAAAGGGGTCATAGCACTTATTAGGAGGTGTGTTAGGTTAGTCCTCAATGGAGCGGATGTATCTCTCGTAGGCTGCTTCCTCCATTAGAGCATCAAGCTCTGCAGGGTTGGCGATGGTCATCTTCATCAGCCAACCTATGTTGAAAAGGTTAAAGTCATGTTAAGCAATGACTAAAGGATCATATCAGTGCATACTTCAGCCCATTTGTCACAAGTCAAATATTTTTAACATCACTGCCACCATTGACTTCTTTTTTTTTTATTATAGTATGAAAATCTATTTAAGACAGTAAACCTGCTTGAGTTTGGTAATCCATCACAGTGAAAAATAGTTCTGTGTTATTGTTAAGTTACATTATGAACCCACAGTGAAAGTATCAGTGGCAAGGCCAAATGTGTGAAGGAGAGATATTGTAGGTCCTTCCTTACTGCTGCTGTCAGACTGTTCAACAACCAGCACTGCTCCCAGTAGATTCTTACTGTTTTTTTTCTCTTGTACAGTGTTTTTTTTATTTTATTTTTTATTTATTATTTTCCTACTCTTACTGTTTTTTCTCTATCCACTTTGCTGCTGTAACATTGGAATTTCCCCATTGTGGGACAAATAGAGGAATATCTTATCTTATCTTATCTCAAGGTTAATTTTTACATAATAAGTCAAGCTTATACAAGGTACAATATATCAATTGGAATGATACAAAACTGGCATCATCTCCAGTGGCTGCCTTTTATGTTGTGTTGCATTACTGCCATCTACTGTCCAACAGATAATGAAAGTAAGCAGTTCACTTAAACCTCACCACCTATTACTGTGAATCATTATGGGGAGTAAAACAACAAAACAGGAAAGATATTTTTATAAATGTACATATTTTTTAAGCATTTACATATTAAAGTTTTTGGAACAAGTACAAGCAAAGCATTTATTTGTAAACAGATCTTTTTTGTGTTGTTGTTTGACATAAAAAGCTCCCCCAATGTATATAACTTCAAAGACTGAGAAGATTTATTTTTAAAGATCTATACTCACTCATAAGACAACTACAGTAACAGTTTTCAGAAGGTAAACTAAGACTAGTGTCAATATACTAACTGTTTACGACCCTATCCTCCAAGTTGTTAATATACTCAATATCATCCCACAACGTTTCTACTGTTTAAACTTTAAATGAAGTATCAGTGTAACAAATAACAGAATAATCTCCATGGACTGGAATATATCCTAATGTGTGTGCTTACCATCTTTGTAGCAAGATTTGTTGACCAGACCAGGCTTATCTGCCAGAAGTGTATTGACCTCTACTACTTCTCCGGTCAAAGGGGAATAGAGCTCACTGGCTGCCTTTACACTCTCCAGCGCTCCAAACTCCTCTGTAACAGTGGATGTTAGAAACAAGTGCATTTAGATCACAGGTTATTTTAAAAGCATGGCAACTACATCAAAGGGACAGGGAAATATGAATAAGTTATGCTGACCTTAGTTAAGACGGGTGTTTTGTGCCACAATGACATATATGTACATGTCATTGTGCCACTGGTGGTACAAGCTAAATAAACTTGACAAACAAATGCATCAAATCCTGTACACAAAAGTACAGAGAATTGTTGACTTATACTCACAAACAAACAGGAGAAATAACCCATGTGTGTCCTTTTTGATGCCCTTCGGTTGAATTAAGTAGCTATCTTACTGTCATTTATAAAATAATAACTAGATGTTACATTCAAAAGTAGACAACCAATCATTAGTATGTTGATCAAGTAATTTGAGGTATCACTGTTTATCTGGACACTCTTTTTTTATCTTTGCATATACTGGCTCTATTTTTATCTTATTTATATTCTTCTACGCACCAACATACCAAGGCAGATTCCTTGTATGTGACAATCAACCTGACTGTGACTCTCTTGCCACACTGCCCTGAACTTCATACCTTGCTGAGCCAGCTGTGTTCCCACCTCTGGCAGCCCACAGTAAACTACATCTCCCAGAGCCTCCTGCAAAAAAGCAGAACGCAAGGTCAAAGGGTAGTGGCAGAAACACCTTTTACTTTAATATGTGTGTGTGTGTGTGTGTGTGTGTACGGCCAGGAAGCTTACTTGCGCAAAGTTGCTGATCCCTACAGTCCCAATCCCATCGTCGTCTACTCGAATCCATTCATGCTTGTCAGTGAATTTAAGTGCTGCAAGATAACACAACAGACTCATAACACCAAGAGCCTCCCACTAAGAAGCGGTTAAAGTATTTTGTAATCCCCAGGATGCCCGGGAGAAGAAAAACAAAACCCCGAACAAGACATGCAACAGCATCGCCATCTCTCGTGTCCTTTTCCTCCAGCTAGTTACCCTCTAAAAAATGTGAGCTAACATGCTACAACAAAACACATTCACAGGCCAATACCTGCTGTGAATCGGCTAGAGGAGGCTAGTGTTCTTCCCAAATATGACTGAGGGGCCAGTCGCAACGGAGAAATTGGCGCCGAGCGGGTGAGCAAAGGCAAAACTGTGAAAAAGTTGGAAGACAGAGAGCGGAACAGCCCACAGGCGGCCATCTTTGTCGCTTACTGATGAGAGTGTGGGTCTCTTCTTTGTGGATATTAGAGGCATCGTTAGCTCTTTACTGCCCTCCACTGATCAATGACAACAATGTACTGTATTTGCTTTTATTTGGATCTGATGGGTCTACTTTTTATTGCCTCTTTTCCCCCTCGTATATTGGGATGTGTCCCTGTTCCTGAACAGCAATTTGAAATTAAAATCCATTTAGCTAATATTCAATATGTGTAGCTTTTGTCTTTATTTTTTTTACTTGCATATTTATTTGGTCAAAACTATAATCACCAAATATGAAAAACTTCATCATAGTACCTAAAAATTCTGGATTATGGTGCTCTGGTTTTAAATCAATGCTTATATTTAAATAATGCCTTCCTTTCTTGTTCGTTAACCATCTTACCATCCTGAGCTCATTTTTAATTATAGGCTACTGTGGTATTATTATTTACCCAGAAACCACAAATTCTGTTTTATTTTTAAGAGTAGTTAATCTGCTTTTTATTGGCTTCCACCCTGGAGTGACCCAGGACCCACATTATTAGGGTTGGGTCTCTGTAATTAATGTTTTAAAGAGTTCGGTCTAGACCTGCTCTATTTGAAAAGTGTCCTGAGATAACTTCTGTTATGAATTGGCGCTATACAAATAAAACTGAATTGAATTTAATTGAACTGAATTGAATTATTAGTGCCACTATGTAGTCCAATTTTCTTCATCAACATGAGCTTTTGGTATACAACTCTTCAAAGCTATACAGCAGCTGAATCCAGATAAATTATGTTAGTTTTTTAAAGTATTTTTTTGAGGGCTTTTATTGCCTTTATGATAGTGACATTTGAAGACAGACAGGAAAGGGGGGCAGAAAGAGGGCATAACACGCAGCAAAGGGCCGCACATGGGTCACCAGCTCTACCCACTGAGCTAATCGGGCACCCTCATGTTGCCCATTTTAACCTCGTGCCAACAATTGCAATGAAAATACAATTAATTCATTGTTTTACATTAAGTGTGACGACTTTGCTGGATTCTAGGTTGTGCCACATGTACAATTTCTAATTTGTGATTTTTCAGATCTGAAAACCAATCAATGAAAACCAGCTGTAGCCTAACCGAGAACCTGCTTCTGTTTCTAAATACTGCTCTATGTCTAGACATCTGAATGTTGGCAGTCTGTGAGCAAAATCAACATCAGCTTCAGACTAAATAAGCTGAGCTTACTACAGTGATAAGCTGTTTGATAGGCTTTGCACAATGCTCCATTCAGAAAATAATTAATAGTATTAGCTATTGGATAACAAATACACAGACTCCAGCAGCCCACAAAATAAAGAAAAATAAATGGAACCTGTTAAAATTATGTTTATTTAAAATAATATTCTTGAGAAGAACACAGGGTTATGTTGTTATAAATCTGCTTCTTCCCATGAGAAAAATAGATGTACTCTTGGAAACCCACAAACCACAATTTTAGACCCATAATATTATTGTGTGATATTTAAATAACCACTACATGTGCACTTTAGCATCCAGAGTTTTCACTGTTTCTCAAATACACTAGCCACTTTAATTCAGATTTACTGATTTTAATGATCTGTCTGCATGTCTATGGCTCCATTGTAACTACAGACAAAATACTGAAGTGATGTGTACTAGAGTTGTTTCAGGAGCCATGCAGATAATCCCAAGAACTACAGATCAATTGTATCTTTTATGACAGGTGACAGGTGATTTATGAGAGCACACAAAAAGACTGATCAGACGGGGCTCAAGGCTTATTCTTATTGACCATCCTAACAAAAACTTAAATTATTTATTATGTAACACTTTTATTCATACAAAACAACAGAATATATAAAGAAAATGTCACTCTCATGCCTGGGAGTTCTACTATTGCTCAAAATTGCATTAGCTGAGGAAATGGCATGTTTAGAAGAAAATAAAAAAAAAGATAATAAAGCAAACTTGAGTGTTTCACACAACCATACACTCCCTTTGTCTTGTTCTGGCTTCATAAACTATGCTGTAAAACAAACTAAAATACATAACGACTAAAAGTGTCCTCCCCTATACCTGGGCTAAAAGCTACAAACATAAATAACAAAAGCACATTTGTTTGGCTTTTACATTACACAGCTTCAAGAGTCCATCCAGTGTCCACTTTTCCTTATTTGATTCTGAAGATGAGAACAAAAACAAACAACAACAACAACAACAACGATAACAACATTGATAACAGTAAAGAGAAATGACGGCTTGCTGTGGAGAGAGGAGTGAAAACTGAGGGGATGAAAGCTCCTGTGTGTGTGTGTTTGGTTGTTTCTCCATCAGAGCTCATTGGAAGCTTGCTCGCCCTCGTTGAAAGGCGTGTAACATGTCTGTGTTAGGTCCCTCCTGTGGGGGGTGCTGTGTGCCGCTGCTGAATGGGTGTGAGGAGCAGAAGTGAGTACTGGCGGTCCGTGGCAGGCAGACAGAGGGGGGTCTTTAGTGTAAAGTCTCTCTCCTCACTGCAGAAAGGAACAGCTAGGTTGGGAAAGCCAGGAAGTTCATCTTGGACCACGGTCAGGTCACCACCACGCACTCTCTTTTGTACACACACTCCTGACGTCTCCGTGCTCACAAAACACGCGCACAATCAGCCAGACCCAGACACCCCTGCTAGTTTTTAGGTGGTTCGTTCCTCCCCGTCGGTCTCCTGCTTGGTCCTGCGCAGGTTGCTCTTCATCTTCACAAACTCGGGGGTGTTCTCCTGTTCCTCCTCATTTTTCTGCTGCTCTAGTTCCAGCTGCAAGAACACAGACAAATGCAGATGAAACAAATGAAAGAGGTTATAATCTGTTATTAGCAACAGCTATAAACTGCACCTCGTTTTAGCTGGCAAGGGCCAAAACAGGGGTCAGTACCTTTAATATCTTTCTTCTCTCGTGATAAGATACAGTAACAATGTGCAACCATCTGTGTGTGTAAGTGTAAGTTTATGTTCATTCTTTCAATCATTTACCTGCTCTAGTTTCTGTTGTCTTTTCATGAGCTCTATCTCCAGGTCACTCCTCTTCTTGTGGGCCTCCTGCTCCTCCTTCTGAGCCTTGAGAACTTGCTCCCTCTTCCTTTTCTCCATAACCTTCTGGAGCTCAGGTTTGTTCTGAGGAGCCAGACCCCTGTGCAGAATCAATCAGTGAAACAGCATGTTACTAAAATAAATCTTAACAAACAACCTCCGACAACCCATGCTAACAACACTACAGAGCCCCACTCAGAGGGAGATTAGCATTCACGTTCATACGTAACAGATGATTGCCATGACCTCATTCTGGTTTGACATGCAGATCTGTATTAGATGTTCTGGATTAAGTATGTCAGCCTTGTTTCAGGAAAGTTTTGATTTCAAATCACAGATTGCTCTACATTTACCAATCTGTGTAAATGATGGCTGCCAGCGCTAAAACGGACTTTATTGAAACTGACTTTGGAAAAGAAGGTTGAAACCATGGGCCTTTTTTTCCCCCTCTCTTTCTTTCCCTTTCTTAACCTTAAGATATCAACCCAATCTTAAACTATCTACCATATTCCTTACAAGGAAGCTGTCCTGGGGTGATAAGTAATTTCGGAAACCAGAGAGACGGTTACACAACTGCCTGGGTATGTGCAGGAAAATTCAAAAAGAGAACAGGGACTTATCTTGGTAAAGTGTGAGTGTGTCTTGCGAACAAGGGCAAAAATACCAAATGTTATGTAATGCTCCAAACTCTTCCAAATTACAAGAGAGAAGGGTGGGGGTTGAGGCTGAAAGAGATGGATTTGAGTCCGGAAGGGTGAAAGCCAATAAACACAAATCCCACAAAGGATTAGGGAGGAACAATAAAGTGCCACACAAGAAAAGAAAAAAATTAAGCCCAGTTAGAGGACAGAGGCTATGCACTGGTCAAAACTCCAATCTTCCTGCCCTTAAGAAATTTTATTTAAAAACCTTATTGTCAGATTACTTAACTCTCCTCAAGGTTACTGATTTTCCTTTCACCAGGAAAGCCAGACTTTGCTGCACAGGCTGCATCAGTTCTTCAAAGAAAACACAGCGTGCCTACCTGACTGCAGCTGAGCAACAACAATGCCTTAATTAAATGCGCTATTAAACCTCGAAGATTACATAACGGAGCCCACGACGTTCAAAGACAAGAGTGGGAGTTAATTTACAACAAGGCACTACTTTATCTGAGTCACTGCTGCTGTTAAACGCTCCGGTCGTCCTGTCAGCGAGGGGTCTTATGAAAGCACTTTGCAGGCGGGATCAGAGCGGAGGGTAATAGATGTGATCGTGTCAGGCTGTTTCCGAGCACCTCGTGCAGAAGGGGGGGGGTCAAGGTCAAGGAAAGCTATACGGCAGGCTATAAAGATGTTTACGCCACTCTCCTTTCACCGTGGGTTTACATAATCACTGACCCTCCTATCCACGACCCCTCACATGAGTGCTAGCCCTGTAGCAGACTGGAAGGAATGTGTGTTCAAAATCCCACACATCAATACCTCCATCTGCTAAAATGATTCACCAGTCTTGGTGGCTGAATTTCTGAAATTCCTCCCTACGTGTGTGTGTGTGTGTGTGTGTGTGTGTGTGTGTGTGTGTGTGTGTGTGTAGGAGGGGTCGCCACAGCTAAGGTAGCAAAGGAAAAAGGCCCTCAGCCAGAGACTGTTTTGTAATCTTGATTACATAACACATTTTTTTCTCACTGTTCAGCCATCTATCCATCCATGCATCCATCCACCCACCCCCCTTCTACCCCGCCCTTGCATCAGCGTGACTAATCCACTATGCAGGCGAGCTTTCTATACTTTCAGTACACGATAGAGAGCCCAATCAAAACAAGTTCACCCCCCCCCCCAAAAAAAAAAAAAAAACCTCTAGATTTGTCTCACAGACTTTTACTGATGCTCCGGGACATTCTCTGTCTAGACGACTAGAAACAGTACTCCACAGCATTTGAAACTCTTCCCTAACACTTTTTTTCCATTTTCCACCATATCCTGCCCACCATGGCCCTTTTCCCCCATCATTCATGAAAACCCTGCCTCAATCACTACAAAAGCACCTCACTCTTTGACCTGTTTAAGACAGAGTATCGCTGCTGTGATGTAACAACTGTCAACAGCATGTGTGTTTATGTAGCTATTTATAGCTCAGGCACAAAGCTGCCGGCGCTGTTTGGTGAGAGAAAATACAAACATTTAGCACCAAAGCGTCATCATAGGCCCCAGTTCGCACAAGTATTCACACATACATTTACCGAGATGGAAACTGACTGCATAATCTGGTATTATTGTCAGCAGCCACACCAGGTTTATCATGTACATACAGTATATCTGTGTGACCTTTACATAACCAATTTTTGACACACTAATGCACTGGAGGTTTTATATAATAGCTCATATGAAAGTTTTATATTCTGAGCTTTATGTAATACTGCTGCTGGAGGGAACAGTGAAGTCAACTTAAGGGACACGCTGCAGAAGCCTCATACAGTCTGCATAGATATTATCGGACCAATTACAAGAAAGTAGCAGGGTTTCTGTATTAACTCATCCTCCATTAGAAGACGTTAAACTAAATTAGCCTGGATCTGGACATTGTACTGTTCTCCCAGTCTAACCTGTTCTGGATAGAGGCAAACTTGATATTGTTGCCATAAACAAAACAAGGAGATGATGATGATGATGATGATCTGGAAACTGTTCAGCAACAGTATTACCACCCAATAAATGAATAAACTATTATCTGTCCAATTGTGCTGCACGTGAATAAATATCACTATCTGCTATGTTATTGTCCCTATCATATACCTGGAATTTAGCCACCTTTGCTGAACACTGATTGTTTTGTCTATGTGCCATAAACCATGATAAAACTCTGGGTTGCTAATTGTAAAGTAAGAATCTCTGGGGAATTACCACATGTGTCTACCAGGACACCCATAAGAAAAATATAAAGGGGAGAAAGACAGATATTGAAAGTTTGTTTTTCTGCCTCCTGACCTCTTCTGGTTCATAAGCAGCTCTCGGTGCAGGTCCTGGTGGTTACGGGAGGTCTTGACTGGGTTGATCAGCTTCTTGGGTTTGATGAGCTCATCACAGTCTCCATCAAGATAGTCGGGCTCCGCCATGACACTCCTCCCTGGTGACAGCGATAGACCAGGGTCACACGGATCTGAATCAGAAACAAATGAAAGAGGACCTTAATTTAACCATCACCATGACTCAGGTTCAGATGCAGCAACGCTGATATGAGCCTTCATATCTGTTTTACAAAGAAAAACATTTTTCAGTGACCTATTATTTTTCTAATATTACACTCCTTTCAAACCCTGATATGAACATCTGCCCGCTCCTCTGGGCAAAGCGCAGAGTTTTTGAATGGTCTCCATAGTGATGGAGGGACTCTGGAATTACATAATTGTTCCACAGTGAGTGAAGAGAACATCATACCCCTATCAGAAACCATATGGAAAATAATCAAGAGATGAATCAGTACTTTTAATATTTTTCAGGCTCATAAATATATCAGAAGTTGCTAACAAATCTGTAACACAAAGACTCAATCCATTGTTTTTCATGACCCCTAAATGTGGGCACACTGCGTGGCCATTTTACTTAATTAGTTCTGTATTTCACAAACATTGTACATACAGTATTTTTTCATTTTAGAAAATCCAAACAGTCTATGTATGGAAATCTACTATCTTCTGACCTAAAGGTCCCCAATCAGGCCATCATAAAGCTGAAAACAACTGGGATACAGAAAGTTTGACCAATGCCTTATGGTAATCACAGGGTAGATATTGAAAAGAACACTGCAGTAAATAACTTTCATGGCCGCTAAGTGCGACAGCTCCTGAGTCCACTATGCACAATGAGAATTTTCCCACTTGCATCCGACTGATGGCTCACATGATCCATTTTAAATAATGATCAGGAATTTGTAAACAAACATAGTCAACAGAAACAATTTGCCATCTAACAAACTGAGAATATTTGAATAAAAAGACAAAAACATATTTTAACACATGTAAGAGTACAACAGCTAATTACCTCTTGTTCATCTGCTGTTAAAAGAATTAAATGCAAAAAAATCAAATCTTGGCTTAACTCACCCTGCAGATGAGGAAAGACGGGATATCTGAACATGGTCGTCATCTCTGCTATTTTTATTCGCAATGTATTTTCCAGGAAAAGCTTTTAGAACTCTCTGTCCTGTTTATCAGTATTTTGCAGAGCCTCACACACGAGAGGTGCTTTAGTCTGCACAGCTGTCTGCTACTGAGCTGGTTGGATTTCAAAGTCTGTTTTATAGCTACGCTCACACTCACACTCACACACGCATTCTCTCTCCTTCTCCTCTGCTCCCTCCCTCACCTACTCTCCCTCCCACTCACTTTCAATGTACACCTCTAGGCAAAGAACAGTTTTTCCCTGACAAAACAGGACCTTAACTGATAAAAGAATAGTCTCACTTGTTATTTCATGGAACTTCGTGGTATTTTGGTCTTGTCGGTAAAAGATAGAGACAAAAAGCCTGTCTTAAAATAACAGTAAAATGCTATAAAAGTACATTACAAGTGCTAAAAATACTGTATTCTGTTTACTTTAATATTAGATAAGAGAGTAATGTGCTTGTCTTCTCCTACAGTCTGAGGAATGACTCAGATTTACAAACAATCATGGTTGCATGTGCCTGTGAGTATCTCCTAACTGCGACACAAAGACTGAAAACATAGACGAATGTGTTGGAAGGAGCTGGCCAATCGCATCAGCTGTACCAAAGATGCATTGTACTGCACGTGCTAGACACAAATGGTGAGGGAGTGTGTCCTCAGAAACAAAACATACACGAGGCATATTGGTGTAATGACTTAAAGGCACCACTAGAGGTCAACATTCTTGCATCCCAGAAACAAAACCATGTCAGTTACATAACAAAGAAGCCTAAGATAAACATGGTTTGTGGCTGCACGCTGCAGAACAAAGGCAGAGAAATAACACATAATAAAACAGTCTTTATGTAGTGGAATATGCTGACTAATAAAAATACTGCTCTCCAGTTGGTTATGATCTACAGTCAGAGTGTGTGTGTGTGTGTGTGTGTGAGGGGGGGGGTTAATCTCTTCTAATCTCAGATTAGTAACCTTTTAAAAATTGCCTTCACTCATGCAACACAAAAAGATCTATGTATACAATGCATTTATAAAACCATAATCTTAAGTAACATAAGTTTAAGGTGATATCTGGAAAAGAAAATATTCATGAATCTGCTCCTAAAACGAACAGACTAGTTCATTTGCCAGTGTCAGTGTGCAATTTTGTGACACAGCCAGAACATGGTGACAGTGTTTGTACATGTTAGATGGTAGAGGTGGGCAGAACAGCTTGGGGCTGCAATCAGGGGCTGCGTGTGAGCACACACGTGCTGCTGTGTACATCAAAGGCGGTTTCTGTTAATGCCGGTAGTAGGGGGTAGAGGAACTTACAGACTGGCAGTGTTGTCAAAGTGTCCGTTAGTTTAACACATCTGCTCCTACATCCTCTGTGCCCCAAGCGAGAGGGGAAGTGACATAGGGAGTTCAAAAGGAACCTGCACCCTCAAATTGGAGCCCTGCTCGAATCCTGCCTCATCACTTGTAGTTTTGCATGCTATCTTTTATGTCTTTTCTGGGTTCATTTAAAAGCTTTATAGGTACATGTTTCACAATCAGTTAAAAGGGTTTCAGAACTATACACTGCCACAGCCACTAGTACACACACAGTACAGTAGATGGAAGCAACTCTTCAAGCATGTCAGTGTGTGGATCACGGTACACCGTTTTCAGGACAACGCTTCCTGCTGTTCCAGGAATCCCATTAAAACAGTTTGTTTATTGGTTTTCGAAACACACCCTTAAAGCACAGACCACAGGGAAACACACACAGATAATGAGCATCTAAAAAGACCTGAATTTCTAAAATGTCCAAGAGAATGGGCACAGCATTTAGATGATTCAAAATGTCTGTGCATTCAGGGATAAAATGTGAAGAAAGTTGATGAAAACAATGGAAAAGAAAGGAGAAAAACTGGGTCAGAGAGAGTCTATGAGGATAAAAGGGAGTTGGCCGAAGACAGCTTTCCTCTGTTTACTTCACTCTCTCCCTGTCATCCTCATGACCTGTGTATGACTGTGATCTCATATACTGTGAAATGTCACATTTTGGAATCAGCAGCAGGAAATATCCCATCAACCATGTAAGAAAAATACCAAAAGAAGAATTGGAAAAAAAAAAAAAGTAGCACACAAGCTATATCCATGTAGAGGCTGAAACCATACACGTAGGTTTTCAATAATATATCACTCATATCATGCCCACAAACACTTTTCTGGCAGCTGTTTTAGTTTTAAAACAGGAAGTCATTGTATGAATGTGTTTGATAAGCATGTTTGAGCTAGTGACTGAGAGTGTGAAAGCGTACCCCCACAGTGGCAGGTTGCATTAGAGCTAATAGAATGACTTATCTTGGAAGGATAAAGTGCCTGCACTGTGCCAAGTGATTGCATCACCGCGGCCAGCTCTGCTATATGAGCTAATACGCACAAAGACTTGCATTCATAATACAGACTCATTTCTCAATTTCCCCCTCAACTGTCATCGTGTCCAAGTTGCCATGGTGACCAGCCATCACCCACACTTGATTTCATGACACAGCACTCAGTAGCAGTGAAGAACAGCTGCAAACTCATACTGCAACCTGGAGGCTTCGAATTGTTATCGATGAGGAGACTTTCAACAGCCGGAATAAACTCCTCAAAGCAGCTAGAATCAATATTATTTACAACAATGGAACAAATGACTATGTGTAATGTGAAAGGTGTAGCTTGTAGTAATGAACCACCCAACTTGCCAGTTCACCTGACAGAGCTTCAGCTTCTTTCAACTCGTTTTTTTGGTTTCTCAGCCCGTTACTTTAATGCTTTGGTTTCCTCTCACCGCTCTCATAGCAGTGTTTTACTGGCAGGTATCTATGTTCAGCATAAAAGCCCTGATAAACCCACCGTATGCTATCTGCCCGGCACCAAACGGCACAGACACAGTTAGCGACTAGCTGCTGAACAGAGTAGAGCATTTAGCGGTTACAAGAGACAGGTATTTTTTCTCAGATGTTCTGGAGACCAGAAACTGAGGTAAAGCCAGCTTGTGCAAATTAATACTCATGTTGCTCTGTGTCTGCTTGATGTGTAAATAGGCAACTGTATGCTAACACAGTTGGGTTCACAGCATATTTCAGGATATTGCAGGTTAAAAACTCTTCACACTTGTACACAAATAAATGTGCATAAGGTATGTCCACTTATATATACACACACACATAAAAAAATAAAATAAAACCATGCATCCCTCGTCCAAAGCAACAGAGAAGAGCACAGATGGGCAGAAAGACTAATGATGAGAGATGAGGAGGAGAACCTCAATTGGCCATTATCAGTGGTTCTCTTTGGTTTCACTGCCAGTAACAGCAAACCAAAAAAAGAGACAAAAGAGTTTGATAACTATATGTCGAGATCAAGATGGACAGATTGGGTAGAAAACTGGAAAATCTCCTTATTCAAAAGTGGCTTTCCTCCTGCTACAGCCTCAACAGACAGAGAAAATGAAGGCAAGGAGAGCAGCTGGTGGCCTGCTTCACCATCTGACCCCCCTGTCTTCCTCCAGGATACAGGCACAAACAGAGCAGACCATCCAGCGCTCTGCACAGGGTGGGGTTGGGGCTGTCAACTGTCATTGGTTGTGAACACATGGCTGACCACACCCACTCCATCATCAAGGAGCCAGGATTTGTTTTCCACAGTGTCCTGCAGCAACGCACGCCGGGGTCATGTTTACAAGGAAGGTTTGATTAGCATGTTAGAGGCCGACTTGATATACGCTGATTGTGGACACACCTAACATAAGAAGTAGAGCCAAAGTAAATTCTTCTTTTTTTTTTACTCATTGGTGGTTCTTGTTGGTTAAATAGAGACTGAAAAGAGCAGTTGCATAAGACTGAATACTAAACAACAATTAAGAGAGTAACCCATGATTTTGTATATTTGTTTGATATTAGACACAGTTTTGGCGAGATGACACACCAATAGAAGCGCAACAAATGTATGAATTGCCCATATTCTGATTATAGATACATAC